AAAAAGAGTTCAGAAAATGATACTCTGCTAAAAGCTTCTAAACTTTGCATCTTTCCAAATCTCAGTGGAATACTTTTCTTTTTGTCTCTATATATACATCCACGATGCTAGAAAACTGAGCTTTAGAGAATTCTGGTTTCTTCTTTAAATGCTACAAGCAGTGCATCACTAGACTCTGCAATGCAACTTCCTCACATTGAAACAAAAATCTTAAATCATAGAAGAACCTCAACTTTCTTTTCATCAGTACAAGCTTGCTTCCTCTACTGTCCTCTCATTACAGTTTCCAAATTCAGTTGTCCATAAACTCCATGACACCTGGAAAATAAAATGGACAACTTGGTAAAAATAGACACTATCCAGGGGCCCTCTATAAATAAGAAAACCAAGACCCCTCCACTTTCCAACCTATAAATAGAATACCAAATATGTCCATACATGGTGATATTTGATTTTAGAATCACTATTAAAGAGAGACCTTAATTGTCAAGTGAGCTTGCTATCTACTTTCTGACAAAAAGTATTGGTTTAGAGAAATTATATCAAAGAAAAAATGGCTTTTTTTTTTTGTTTTTTTTTTCCCCAACCATAGCTGTCTTTCAGCAATTGGCTGGCTTAGTAATACTATCCCTATTCAGTAAATCATCCCATTAATTTACCTAAGGGAATATTTTGCAACTAGTTTACCTTACATTATTCCCTAGGAAATTAAATTTCGTAATTTAGGTACTCTGTAAAATGCATAATTGCGATTTTCATGGCCAAGGGAAGAATTTGGAAACACCCACTTTAATTTTTTTTTTCTTCCTATTCCCTAGTAATAGCAATTAGGAGATTAAAAAGTATCCTTGTCTAATGCTGAGGGAAAAATAAGAGAATATAATAAGAATGCTGAAAGAAAATATCAGAATTGGTTTTGTTTCTTTATGTCATCTGTTCAAATACATAAAATAATAGAGGGACTTCTAAAATATTAGATTTAGAGTATTAACTATTAATTGTTGAATGATTGCTAATGCTGAAGAGATTCTTTGCATGGCTTGTGCTTCTTAGGAAGTTTCACCGCAAATATCCAATATTCATTAAAGCTCATTTTCCAGAAATTGGGTTTTTGAAAGATTACCTCAAGGATATGAAATCTATTAATCTCCAAGGAGATTATCATTTATCCTTGAGTAATCCAGAACTCAGCTGTTGGCTTTATCAGTGGCTAAATCATCAATATCTCCAATCAGAACTAAACCAAAACTCAACTTATTCAGAGATATCAACAAAAACATCAACTCAAACAAAACAGTTCAGAGTTCCATAAAATATAATGGATATCTGGGGGCATGGGAGGGCCACGTGGGCACCAAAGTCTCTGCTGCCTTGTTTTGCCCTTGTACTTACCTAAGTCTTCATGTCTATCTGCTTCTTTCACTTTTTTCCTGTATGTGTGTGTGTGTGTGTATGCACACAATATATAACATAAATACTATATGCCATTTATTTTCTTGTGTATATATATATAAAGTGAAATCAAGCCAAACTCACCACAATGACATTGATTCTGACTCATAATGAACCTATAGGACAGAGTAGAACTACCTACCCCCTGGAGTTTTCAAGGCTGTAAATCTTTACAGAAGTGGACTGCTTCATCATACTCCCACAGACTGGCTGGCTGGTAGGTTCAAAGTGGCAATATTTTTGTTAGCAGCCGAGTGCTTTAATCACTCACCTACCACATATGTTACATACAATCTAAAATTTCTATTAGAATGAAATTTCATAAAAGGAAAGTAAGGATTTATTATCCTTACTATTATTATTTTATGTCAACATCAATGTAGTATTTTAAAATTTAGTTGAAACACTTAACCTATAGAATCTGCTTTTATATGCATGTCTGTGGTTATGCATCTTTCTTAGGTTTTCAGTCATTATGTTTACTTTTTATCTAAATATTTGTGGATCATAGTTTTTATAAATTGAGTTATAACAAATGAAGAACAGCAACAACAAAAAGAAAAAAAAAAAAAAGAAAAACATGAGTGGAGTTTAATATTTCCAATGAGCGTAACATCATTTCCTCAAAAGAGGCCTTTATGGGTCCCAGTCTCTACTAGGGCTCCTTGTTACCTGTTCCTGTGGCACACTGGTTCTTCAGAGAACACTTGCCTTCCTCCTGAGCTAGTTTTTAAACTGCAAGATGAGAATAGTCCATGTAACTTCTTTACTGTTTGCTTACAGTTTCTAGAGCAGCCCTAATACCCTGTAGGTGTTGAATGACTATTTGATTAATTAGTGATTGCAGAAAGAATATATTAAGGAAATAGTGGCTATTTGGAACAGCTGTCTATTTCATTCCACTAGCATTCCTAGTATCATTTCTTTCAATATACTAGTCATTTAGTATTCTTGGACAAGTTGCTATCCCTCTTGCCACAAGAGTTCTCAGTTTTCCTGTAATTTTTCCATCACACCTTATAACAACTTAAACAGTACTGGGCAACAGGGCAGTCTGAAAAATGCATCTGATTATAAGTTCAAAAAGCAAGGCAAGTGCCTATTGTTTATAAAAGTTTAAGTGGTTGTCAAAAAAACATGGCATAATTAGGGATGCTAATATTTATAGTTGTAGATGAAATAAACTGTTACACTTATTTATTTTCTAGGAAAACTTATCTGGCACCAAAAGTCACTTAAGTAGAAAAAATCGTGTGATATCAAAGCTATAATATTTTTCTCTTTTTGAAGGAAAGTTCGGGGTAATTTCTTTTGCTTTTTGTGATCATAGATTTAAGTTCCACAATTTGATTTGAGGGTGTGAATACTCTGAAGTTATTTATTTACAGCACAAATCTCTGAAAGCATTGTTATTCTTTATAGTCAAAGAATCATAACATTTGGGCTCAACATAAATAATACTAAAAAAAAAAAAAATCCCCACTACCATCCAGTCGATTCCGACTTATAGGGACCCCATTGGGTTTCCTAGGCACCAAATCTTTATGAAAGTAGATTGCTCAGTCTTCCTTCTGCAGAGTGGCTGGTGAGTTTGAACTGCCAACCTTCTGGTTAGCAGTCAAATGCCTTAGGCACTGCACCACCAGAGCTCCTGAATGACAGATTATTGGTATTATTTTGTCTTCATATACTTATTAAAGAGAAAATTATTTCCTAATCATATCTGACATTGTTTAGTGGTTGCAATGCCTCAGGTACTGGGAAAGGAATTTACTCAGTGTTCCTCATTGTTTTCTCATGAAAGCAAACAGAGGCACTGTCTACCATCATGTCTATTTTAGAGAGGATGGAAAGGAGATAGAGAAGTTAAAGAATATACATGTGTTTACAGACTTAGCATATGATGCAAGTGGATAATCACATTGTTTGAAGTAATTTAATTCATAATTTTACATCAATTTATTTTTCTCTGTTAAATATAGTAATCACAACTTTTGAAAAAATAAAAGGTATTCAAAGATCAGATGGCATATGGTCAAGCTATTTATTTAGTAAAACAATCAAATAGGATTGAAGTGCAGGATAAAAACTCACTGCCATCAAGTCAAACCCTACTCATGGCGACCCCCCTTTGGGTTTCCAAGGCAGTACCACTATAGAAGTAGATTGCCCAACCTTCCTTCTGAGGAGAGGCTGGCTGGTGGGTTTGAACCGCCAGCCCTCTGGTTAGTAGTCAAATGCCTTAGGCATATATGAAGATGAAACTCACTGCCATGGAGTCAGTTCCAACTCATAGCAACCTCTCCTTGGTTTTCCAAGGAGGTATCTCTATGGAAGTAGATTAACTGGTCTTGTATCTGAGGAGTGGCTGGTAGGTTTGAACTGCAAGCCTTCTGGTTAGCAGTCAAATGCCTTAAGCACTAGATCATAGTCACTAGGGCACCAGAGCTCCTGCATATGAAGATAGGTAACATTATTTTTATTTTTCCTATTCTAATCACCTGGGAGCTCTGGTAGCATAGTGGCTAAGGCACTTGACTGCTAACCAGAAGGCTGGTGATTCAAACCCACCAGCCACTCCTCGGAAGGAAGGTTGGGCAATCCTACTTCCATAGTGATACTGCCTCGGAAACCCAAGGAGGGGTCGCTATGAGTCAGGG